CTGCTGATTGTCTCTGGCGGTATGAGAGACCAACAAATGCATATCTTTCCTAAAGTTTCCAGTTATTATTTGATATTTTAAAATGCAACTTCCTCTCTCTCCTTCCATGCCTTTCTGTTGCAGCTAGTGCCAAGAACTATCTCTTAAAAGTAGCCTTTTCTGAAACCCAATCAAAATCTTGATGCCTATGAGTTTCCATCAGAGTATTGGTAAATGCCAGGTCAGCCAAAAGAGGAGGCATATCACATGCTCCACGAATCAGGAAGCCTTAAATATTGAAGGTATTTATACAGAAACTGCTGAGGACTGAGCCTTTCCTTATGAGAGTGCAAAAAAACCCTTCAACACAAAAAACTAAGTAGACATGTCCATACAGAAACGTCACACTCCAAATTCCAATAGTTTAAGTCCTTGAGCTATTTTATTTAGTACCGCAGAAACAAGTCAAAATAAGAGATGTATCCTTATTTCTGTAAAGAATCCTTTGATTTTTTTTTTAACTATGGCCACAGAGAATTCATACTTCCTCATCCAGTCCTTCAGTTTGCATTACACCCATGCTGCAAATAGCCTGGCTATCTCCATTTAGTTTATACAGTCTCCTAGAAATAGAAGATTGATGTGGAAAATATGAAAATTGTCAACTTTGGTAAATCTGAGCACAGAAGCCAGTATTTGTATGATAGTTAAGAAATTACCCTAATAATGCATTCTGGAGCTTTTTAATGCTAATGATGAAAGACAAGCATTTCAGATGGCATCTAATGATGGATGTTATTTCGGTAATGCTTGCAGCAGGCTTCAGCTTGGTAAGGAGTTAATGAAAATTACCTTTTGCTTAAAAGAGAAAAATATGATGTGTTACTGCACATGTATCATGATTTAAAAGACAAGAATGACTTAGCAGCAGTATTTGTAAAGGCAAGTGAGCTGAGTAAAAAAATGCTATTATTTTATTAAAAGCAGTGTTAGTCTCAGAGAGAGGGGGTTTAAGGTTTGGTATCATTCCTTATAACTTCTCAGGGAAAGGAGACAAAGTTTAATCCTGAGAAACAATGACAAAACTGTTTCAAGTTCTTACCTAGCTGGCTGCCTACGCTGCTGACCCTTAACAAGCAGAGAGGTTGGCTTGGGATGTACGATCATCTCAACACAACAGATTCTCCCTCCCTCTCTCTTTCTCCTCCTTTTTCTTTCCTTTTCTTGTTGTTTTTTTTTTTTTCCTGAAGACTATCACATTTACGTAATCGTCCTCTTATTAGGGAGATTCTGCTGAACTGCTGACAATGATGTACAGTGGTGCTTCGCCGGCATGACGTTTGGGGAAAACGATTCTGCTGCACCACCACACAAAACCAATTAGAGAACTATTTTCTGCGACAGGTCAGGAATTTACATTGTTTCTCATAGAAAGATGTGCTTTTTAATTTCTTTATTAAGATGACATCCATGTCCCTTGCGACTTTTAGGGATGACAATCATTCGCTCATCACATGGGAAAGTACAATCAGTGAAATCGCATTACCGGTACGGGGCAACGCCAGAAACTCCAAGGATCGCTCCGCATTTTCCAAATGAACTAGTTTGAGAACCAATAATTAGAACAATATATATCGATAGAATTTTTTGACAGGACCTTCAGTCACCCACCAGGGGGGTAAAGTAATGATAGTCAATATACAAGGGACTTCTCTATGTTTGCTGAACATATAAACATCATCTTTGTCAAATCAGTAAGACATATAGAAATCTCGTACATCTTCGGATCAGGACATGATAGGAAGTACTAACTAGCTGCGGCTTCTCCCTTGACTTGTGGATGACAAACTGTTTCTCCTCAGTGAAGTCCTGACAGTCAGTATCTTTATACCAAAAAGAGCTATCTTAAAGTGGTATCTATGTTATGACAAATTAATAAAATCAAAGAATTCCCTGCATAAGGATGAAATGATATTCAGAACTCACCACATTTACCTCAGTCTTTATCAAGGAAGGCTTCCTCACAATACCTGAACACAGGGAGATTAGTTGAAATGATATTTTGTTTAGTGTGCAAATAGAAATTCATGAAACTAAGTTACACTCATAGATTGCTTAAACACACAGATCTCTAAACATAGTCTTGCATAAAATAATAAAGAGCTGAAAGAGAAATAAATATTTGATTAAACACATTAAGGATTCTGAAGTATGACTGTATCTGGTCTTATGAAAGTACTAAGGTAGTCTTTGAATTATAATTATCAATCTGTATTTGTAAGAAGCCATGATTGCATATAGTGTGAATGTACATTAACAATAAAAAGACTGTATTTAAACAAAAGTTGGTCTTGCAATGTGTTGAACTCACTCTCAAGATGGAAAGGAATCTGAGCATACCAGTTTTCAAAGAAAAAAACCCTGAATGAATTAAAAAACCACACATGTAACAGCAGTATAAATGTTCTTCCAAAGGAAAAAACTGAACAGATTTGGTAAAAGGAAGAAAAAAATTATTAATTAAACATATGGCTTGCAATTTAATTAACTGACTTTTGAAGAAAAAAATATTTTTATTGCAAAATATTACTTATATGGAAATATAAAGCTAAAGCTACTGCCATGAAATTACAAAGCAAACTTTACACATTTTAATTTGAAACTACCTAAAAATACAGGAATAGCTAAAACCAAGACAGACCTAACTCTAAAGTTGATCCCTTGAACAAAGATATCACCATGTAAAGGGGCAAAAGATTCATTACATTCATCCGCACTAGTAAGAGTATGCCTTTTTCTGAACAGAGGAAAATACTGGATTTTAAATTGTTTTTACTAAAAAGTACATCTGTGTGTACATATATATATGTGTGTATACGTGTATATGTTAAATTTTCATTCAAGATTCCAGTTTCATTCTGTGTTTTTCTTCTACAGCTACGTGTCTACGTGAAATCACTCAAATGTTTGTATTTGAGCTAGTGTAGTAATACAGCTATAAATACAGAAAGCAGCAAGGTTATATCATACTTTATTATATTGTTATTTTCAGCAAGCATGATCAGAGTAAGAGGCTGGCAACGGGAAGTTTCTGTGTTCCAGTCCTGATTGTATCACTGAGTCAATGTGTCATTCATTCCCTTGTGTTCCTGTCAACCAGTTGTAAAACGTGTGAGAACATATTCTGCACTTTTTTTCTTAAGTGTTTTCTAAATTTAATCTGATATTTTTCTGTGCGGTGTCAAGATGATGTTAGTTCTCCCTTCTTTAGGGAAAAAAAACCCCAATACACAATTAAATGTGCTGGCAAAATCCTCGTTCATACGTTACATGCCTACAAATTCTGTCAATATGCATATATACCTACAGCTGTACACAAATAAACATGCTCATAATTATATCCTATGGATACTTATTAAGCATAAAATACATGTGAATTTAAGTAATTTTTATTGGCCTATGCTTCACAGAATTGTTTTTAGTTAAAGAAGATTCTAAACTAAACATCTGAATTAGTACTTAACTTCACTGATGGAAAAAAAAATCAAGAGAAATACTAAAATATTTCTCACCAGCAATATGTACAGTGAAAATATCTCCAAGTTTCTTTTGCTGATCCAGTAAGAATTTGAAAGCATCTTTTCTAAAAATCAAAGCCTTCCCAAGGTAAGGAATCCAACCATTTATTAGCGGTGGCTCTCCAGTCTTCCTGTTAAAAACAGAAAAAAAATCAATCAGGAATTAATGAGAGCAACTTGTCTTTTTATCTATTTATATATTACACTTAGACCCACTATTCATATATAATTCTTGCACTGTATACTATAGTGTATGGAAAGTTCTTCAGCTATGATGGCAGGTTAAATGTAATCACACCTCTGAGCACAGAAGGCTCCGTGTGGTGATTAGGAAAAATAAGTGAGGGAAATTGAGATGCATTTAACTACAGGTCATCCAGTTATTACCATTGAGTTTCGAACACAGAAAAATGACATTCGATAGAAAATCTCCCAGCAAAGGGTCTTCTCATTTTCAATATTTGGTGTGTCAGAGGAAGATGTATCAGAAGGCAATTATGACAGATTTAGGTAAATAGGACGCTGACATACCACACAAAACAACTAGTCTTACAGACAACATTTTAAGAATTTTGGTTTACGAGCACACAGAACAGCTGCCATTCTAACTAAATATCTTTAAAATATAGAATAATAATAGAGGCCAAACATTTACTATAATAAATGTTAGTCTCTGTATATTTATAGTCTTCTAAGACAGAAATGTATATGAACAGTTTAAGATCAAATTCTAGATAATGATATTTGCATCCCAGTCTAAAAAAGCAGCCACAGTGTGTTAGCTATGTTTATGGAATAGTATAAAATACCATTTAAGATTCTAATAAGTTACATTTTTCTTTAAAACAGAAAAAAAAGGTTCCCACACTGTCCTATTCCTGACTGCAAGTAAATGTCTTTCCTTCGTGCTGGTCTTTAGTCGCTTGAATCTGATTTTCAACAAAGAAACATAAAGCGTGCTTGCTCTGGAAAGGATTAAAACAAATATTCACGAACAACTCTGCTGCTACATCCCATCTGTGAAGGTGACTTATACTACATGCAGAACAACTCATTCTGATTAAACATAAGATATTTACTAGCTTGGATCTAATCAAAGATCAAGGGATCACAAGCTTTACTACTATCATACACAGCATGGATTTTTATGTAGCTGGATTAACCCTATCATAGTCACATTCTCCCTTGAACTGTTGTATCAGAACTGGAAAAAAAAGATAAATATGATATGCTGTATTTAGATTTATTCTTTTCCTAATTAAAACTTTCTGAGCAGGAAATTACAAGCCAAGGTTGTATTCTCTTACTTTTAAAAGTTGCTATAAATTTAATTTACAGATGAACAGATGTGCTCAAACTGAGTTGCATATCTCAATCTCTTTCTGTTTAACTGGCTACTAATTCAAAAAGTTAGTTTTCAAGAACATCCTTTAGTCCTCTGGAAAACCAGTAAACCTTCTGATCGAACCCTGAATCTCACAGGGCAACAACATGTTTGCCCTGACTTCTTAGTTTCTTTGGGTTTTGTGGCTTTGGGGTTTTGTTTATCTGCTTTCTGCTGGGGTTTTTTTGGTTAGTGTAGAGAAGGTGGAGCCCCTCTTTTCTCACTGCCTCCCATAAACCACTACATTATCCATCCTCTAGCAGTGAAATAACGCTATTTACTCAAGTGGTCCAGAAAACTTTGTAACAGTTAATTCTGTATTAAGTGAATACAAGAAAGGAACTAATCTGAGATTACACAAGAGGGATCACAAGCCACATAAGCATAACAGCCCACTCGATACCCGCAATTATCCTCTCCAAGCCCATAAAGAATCTGGATGATTTACCCACTTTTTCCCCCTCTCCACTATTAAGCCCCGAGAGTGGCTGCCTTTCACTTCTGGGGCTGGACACTGTGCCCCGTAAGTAGCATCCTGACAAATATTTAGATAGGCTTTTTGTCATCTTCTAATTGAATGCATCTAATTTCACCCTCCACGTTCTGTCATTCGGTCAGAAGCTGTATTCTTCACAAGCTCTCTGCTGGGTAAAAAAGAGGCAGCTCAGAAATCCAGGGGAAAATTAACTTAATGCTCCAAGTCTGCAGGATCACATCAGGGAGACATTTTGCTATCGCAAAGACGTGAGGGTCATCGTTCACTTCAGTCATGTTTAGCTCAGCAGCAATAGGCTTAACACTGTTAAACACCATGTCAAGGGTATGCGGCTTTCAGAGGAAAATATAACACCAGTTCAACTTGCCACCCACAGCAGACTGATAACAGAAATGTGTCTTCATTTCTGGCTTTCCTCCTCTTCGGAATATGGAGGTCATCTTCATGACTTATCAAAGTCTGCCAACACACAGCAGAGAAAAGAGCGCCATGTGTATTTTAGTGCCTCCCAAAATACAATGCTTCGCTGCACAAACTTTTAAGCAGACCTCAGCTTCCTTCAGGACTCTCACCCGCATTCCAGGTACCTCCAGAAGTTTCCGTTGCCTTCAGATGCCACACTCAACCATTAACAAAGCCCACAGCAACTTTTACAGGTTAATTAATTTGTTTACTAACTTCAATTCTGGACTCAAACTTCACAGCCCTTGTAAAATTTGATAAATAGACAAAAAATAGGAAATGTTAAACTTACAGTTTTCTCCGAAGATACATTGTTCGATCAAATGTAAAACATAGTTAAGAAATATAAAAAAAATACAAAGTATTTTGATGGCAACTTAAGACTACAACTTTTTTAACTGAAGCATTCAGAACATCTTGCCAGATAATATTTTATTCAGACCTAGTTTAACTTCTTAAATTCTAATTCACATAACACACCTCCTAATATTCCCAGGCCTATTTGCTCCACGTTCCTGTCCTATTTACAGATTGGGCTGGTTTTGGTTATATACAGGAATATCTTTACTTATCTGAGAAGCCTCTGTGAAGTCAGTAAGACTTAACGTACAAATTTCTCACATATGTGAGTGAATTTTACAAATACAGCATCAGCAACATGTCCAATGCAATCTATAAGTAGATGGATCAGTTACAAAGTGGAGGGAAAGCAACACAGTTATATCATCCATCATTGTTAAATGCATAATTTCAAATGGCATTATGCAAAAATCAGCTGGCTACAAATACAGCCCATAAATAGAACGAACAGATTTTGATAACTGTAATTTTGCTTTGCCTTCACAGAGAAAAGACACTTCCTTGTTAGAGAGTAATAAAGTTGCAATGTCTACTCAGTTAAAGAAGAGAAGTTTTGGAGTTTGCTTACAGTTTCCTTAAGGGAGATTTTTCAGCTCATCCAAAACACAGAGGTCACTGACTCAGGTGTGATGATTTAGCTACAGATGTAAGGCAGTATTAAAAAATCTGGATATCATACCTATGTCTCACTTATGCTAAGCAGCAGTGATGCAACAAAGCAGGAGAAAAATCAGCTGCAACACAAATTATGTGAAAAATAGTTTTAAAAATATTTTTTTAAAATTCAAAGTCTCTAAATATTATGTTTTCAGTTAGTGAAAGGGAATTATTTGGGAAACTCAAATAGGGTAATTTGTTAAGCTCTCTGAACATTAACTTTTTTTTTAATTGTAAAGAAAATATCCTGAAGATTCATAAGCAAATAGACTTTGTCAACATCACCTCTCATAGAAATATTGTTGCTTTATAAAAGTACACAAGATGATTTTTTTGCTGGTTACATCACTTCAGCTCCTCTGCAATGTAGGGCATGGGATCAGTGTAAATGAGAGGAGAATCCTTCTCATTTCACTGGTTATTTGTATTCAAAAGGAGCAGATGCCTTCCAAATTATGCAAAAATCCACAGCGCATCTCATACTATGGCAGATGAACAGGTTAATTTTTCTCTTTGCACATAATAAATCATAAGTGCTTTAACACCCATAGTCGCATTCCATGAACATAAACCTTCTGGTTAATAATGTCTGTTTACAACTGGAATCAGACATAAAGTAATCTCTTGCCTGGGATAAACATTAATCCAGATCTGTCTAGAAAAATTATACAATTCATTACCATAAGTAATCTCTATTGTGCCTTGTGCTTAACCTTCATCTTTTTTTCCCATCCTATAATCTTGCAAATCCACTGGTGGTGTATGATTGGCATCTGGTGTTAACGCAGCCTTCACTGCACAAGGCACAGCTGAAAAAGCCCTGCATGAACACGTCACTGCAGGGTATCGCCGGTTCAGCTGACCACTTCTCAACAACTTTCCCCAATAAGTGAAAAAAAACCCAAGAAAAATGTCTTAACCATACTGTTTGCCACCAAGGGGTCATATTCACTTTCTGAACCAAGGTCACCATCCACAAAAATTAAAGGTATTGGTCTCATTTTCCCATAGCGTCTCTGGTCAAAGCATCACACACCACATCCAAGCTGGAACACACCATGCCGGGGGACTTTAAAGAATGGAAATGGATGGTTACAGAAGTAGAACAAAAGCTATTATGAACATGTCAAAGCAGTTTGAGATTATTCACAAGCTCGATCACAGTATTTAAGCAACAAGACATGACAGACAGTGTCTTTCCAGAGGCTTATGAACACTCTAACTGTGAGGAAAAGAATGAGGCCAAAGGCTTCAACCCCAAGAAAGGTAATCCCCAGAAATGTGGTGTCTGAGTGTCTTCTTGTATTATAGAATAGAGAACACAGGAAACTTAGGACAGGAGAGAGCCAGTAAGTCTATCTTACTATTTTTTTTTTTAATTTAGCAGTTACAGCTTTCCCCCTAGACTTGCTCATAGCATTAGGTGGTTTGTATCTCCAAGGACAGAAAAAATATTATCTTCCAAATATTTATCCACAACACAATTTTTTTGATACTTATAAAATTATGCATATCTTAAATACTCCATCTAGATTATTTGCCTCAGTGACCTCCTGGAACTCTAATTTTCCCCTGCAGAACAAGCCAGACGAGAGGTTTAGCAACACATAGTCTTGTACCTTTGAATTCTCAGCTTAAACACTTCCTAAGGGGGTAAGGACCAGACACTGCTTTAATCTGATCACTATTTTGAGGCTTACGTGGAGTAAATGGATGCATCAGGCAAAGTCTTGACATGAGAGATGCAGACACGGATTGACTCAACGAAAAAGAAACGAGAGCCCTGGGATGGAAAAAGCCTCGCGCTGCCGCCACCTATACTTTGATCTAGGTAAAGTGAATTCGTGCTGCAGTACTGATAGCCTCTTCTTTTTCAGTACGATAAAGATCACTCATAAAAGGAAAAAGACTCAGGAAAAACCAGCAAATGTGCTTTTGAGCACACCAAGGAGAGAAGAGTTTATCTGTGCTTCTAAAAAGAGCAGTACAGCAAAGATAGACTCTAATAGTGATGTGAGACAAACTGGGAGAAATGCTGACAAAAACAAACCCAACAACTAGTGAATTTTGACAGTGATTTTTTTCACACAAAAATGTAAACCTTTTGTTGAAAGCTCTTCATGTCAAGAACTTCTGGGATTTTAATAAAAAAACATTTATTTTGCCCTGTAAAACCATACAAGTTTTTTGTTGCTAAAAACTCTAACTTGTGCTGTAATCTGCTCATCACAGGAGCCTTTTCTTTTTTTCCCCTCTTCTAATAATTTCATTTGAGTCATCCCCAAATATATAAAAAAATACCAGTACTTAACAACTCATTTGGTAGTTCTGAAATACGACTGTCTAGGAAATCTTATTCCTTTATCATTTTTTTAGGCTACATTATCTCAACAACTGTAGGTTCACATTGTACATATCACCTTTTCACACTTCAAAGTTGTGTGTTGAAGGACAGATCCATAAATTCAACCACTACTTGTACTGATAGCTTGCAATATTGCCTAAAAAGCCGAAACGCTGGTAAATACCATTGTGGGAGTCATCTGAACATTTTGAAAATGTAAACCTGCTGAAAAAGCTCTTTCGGCTCAGGTTTTATCAGAGGCTGAAAATTCCCAAAAAGGTCCTACACAAAGTGTAATATGAAGTTTCACAACAGCCAGGATAGGAGCCATGGCAAAGACAAGACCTCACCAATGCAACAGTAATTGAGCAATATTGAAAGTTAATATATACTCAGTGATTAAGGCTCCATCCTTGAAATCCTGCTTAGTTTCTGTGCTGTGTGAGGTCAGTCACGACTACTCAACACTTTCCCCGTCCAAACCTAAGGTTATTCTATTACCTCTTAAATTTGAGATCACATGCCCAGACCACAGCTTTTCCTTCCTTAGTTCAGCTTTAATCAAAGTAAAATAGGCTAGGAAGAGGACGAGAGGCTACTTATTCCATGCCTTGTATCCCAGGTAGGGTGCTGTGTACTGATATCTTCCCTCATATTTGTCTATGCTGCTCTTGAAGATACTTGGTAACGGAGTCTCTACCGTCTCCCCAAGCAATATATCTCTGTTATCAGAGAGTTTCTCCTCACGTCTAACCTTCATCTTCATGTTGTATCTCAAACCCACTACTTCTCATTCTATTCTATTCTATCTACTTCAGGATAGGAGAATAAATGATTCCCTTCATTTCTGTGGGCCCCTTAATGTATTTAAAGATACTTAGCATGTTCTCCCTTAGCCCACTTTAGGTTAATAAACCTCATTTTCTTCTAATATTTCTTCATAACTAATTTCTAGATTCCTACATACTTATGTCATTCCTCTCTTGATTTTCTAATGTTAGCCC